TGACTCTTTCAGACTGAGCTGGGAAGCTAACAGAGAGTCTTGAGCAGGGGCAGGGAGGGAGATGATCTGAATGTTCCCTTTGAGAGGCTCCTCAGAATTGAGTGCTTCATACACAGAAGTGTTCTGTCCAGGCAAAGGTCCCCTGCTTCTGAGTGCATGGATCCCCTGGCAGATCATTGGTGTCTTCTGGTCCCCCTGCCCCGCCACATCCCTCCGCACCTTGTCCAGCAGCCCCATGCTGGCAGCAGCTCCTTGGGTGAGGCCATCTTTTTTTTAAGTTCACCAGTCATATGGGATTAGGGGCCAACCCTCTTCCAGTATGGCTTATTCCAATTGGACCCATATTGGACCTATTCCAATATGGACCCATTTTGCAGTGGTTTTAGAGGTGTGCAAATGGGCTTCTAAAAATTTAAATAGTGATGTACCTCTATTAAAAAATATAACTATTGGCCAGGCACGGTGGCTCACGACTGTAATCCCAGCACTTTGGGAGGCCAAAGCAGGCAGATCACCTGAGGTCAGGCGTTCAAGACCAGCCTGGCCAACATGGTGAAACCCTGTCTCTACTAAAAATACAAAAAGTTAGCGGGGCGTGGTGGCAGGTGCCTATAATCCCAGCTACTTGGGAGACTAAGACAGGAGAATCACTTGAACCCAGGAGGCAGAAGCTGCAGTGAGCTGAGATTGTGCCATTACACTCCAGCCTGGGTGACAGAGCGAGACTGTCTCAAAAAATATATTGTACATATATAATATAATGTATATAATTATATATAATTATATAATGTCTATATATAATTAATGTCTATATAATATACATTATATATCAATATGATGTATATCATATGTATTGTATATAACTATATACATAATTATATACATTATATATTACATATACAATTATATACATAATATATAATTATATGCATAATATATGTATTATATATTATATACATACTATTAGCTGGGCATGGTGGTACACACCTGTGGTCCAGGTTACTTGGGAGGCTGAGATGGGAGGATTGCTTGAGCCTGAGAGGCCGAGATCACACCACTGTACTCCAACCTGAATGACAGAGTGAGAACTTGTCTCAAAAAAAAAAAAGAAAAAAAATGTAGCATCTCAGACCCATGATTTCATGGATTTTATTGCTGAGGATAAAATGACACAGAAGGAATCAACTTCACTGATTCCAGCACCTGGGTCTGACAGTATGATGTGACGGTGGTAAGTGAAAGACTGAAGTGTGAGGGGCACAGGTAGGGAGGAAAACACAGGGGTTGGAGCTTCAGGACTGTGGGCTGGCTCCAGCGGCTGACTCTGCCCCTTAAGCCTCCGCCTCCTGATCATAGGTAGAGGATCATCATTCCCAGTTGGAGTTGTGAGGAGCATGTCATCCGGTAGGAATTGAGTGCTTCATACACAGAAGTGTTCTGTCCAGGCAAAGGTCCCCTGCTTCTGAGTGCATGGATCCCCTGGCTGGTGGATTCTGTATCCTCCAAGAGCCTGCTTGCTTCCTTAGGTCACCAAGAAGTTATACTCAATGGGCTGCTACGAGATCTCCCTGGGGGACACCATTGGTGTAGGCACCCCAGGGATCATGAAAGACATGCTGTCTGCTGTCATGCAGGAAGTGCCTCCGGCTGCCCTGGCTGTCCACTGCCATGACACCTATGGCCAAGCCCTGGCCAACACCCTGATGGCCCTGCAGGTAATCAAAATCATATGCCCATTCTCCCAAAGGTCATGGTGGGCAGGACAGCTTGTTATTATTTATTCTTTCAGCAAACATTTACTGATGCCAGTATGCCAGGTTCTGAGCGGGCAATGGTGGACATTGTCATGGTGACCCCGCTCAGATGTGAAGTGTACACCTCTGTGTTGGAGAGACAGTCACGGGAGTTACATGGCAATCCTACTGCATTATGACAGATGCCATGAAGGGAGGAAGCATGGGGCTCAGGAAGCCTAGAGGGGCCCCATCCCAGCTGAGGAGATCTAGGAGGATTTGCAGAAAAGGCCTGAGTGAAGCTTGAAGGATATAAAGTAAGCTACTGGCGAGGGAAGAGGAAAGGTGACTGGGCAGAACTGCACCTCAGGACTGATGTAGGGTTCAGGGAGGACTCATACAACCTACAGGGTTATGAGTGTGCGGGTGTGTAGCGGAAGCAGGTGAGGAGACAGGAGGTAGAGAGGCCAGCAGAGGTCACTCAGAGAGAGAGGCTTTAATGCTGTTCCCCTCAGATTTAGTTTCCCTTGAGGTTTGCTTCTCATGGGCTGGTCCAGGATGGTGATCCATTGGCTGGCAGCCAGATAGAAGGGACATTCTTGGTGTCTGACCACGGCTACCTTGCTGTAGCACTGGCCTACCCTTCCATGTCTAGGATAGTGATGGCAGTCCCAGACACTTTTTTTTTTTTCCTCTCAATTATCCCCTAGAGGTTCGTGTCTAAGCCAGGTGAGTCTGTTACATCCTGGGCCGGTTTCCTCAGAGTGGTGGCTGTCAAGGTTAAGGTTCATAGCTCTGTGGTCTCCTCATTTCTCGGCTTACTGTGACACTCCGCCCTGGCTCCTGGGCTTTCCTTCAGCTCATGCGTTTCCCGGCCAGGCAGTCAGGAAGAGTGACTTCCCGTCCTAGACCTTGCCAGGCAGGTAAAGGGGAATTCTGCACAGCCCCGGTGAGTCTGAGGCAAAACTCCATCCTGACTAGGCTCGGGACACTCCTGCTCCTCTGTGCTTCTCTGTTTCTTGGCAATGATGTCTCAGAATCCCCTTTTTGAAAATTTATCAGGGAACAGGTTGAGCTGTATGATGTCTGGCAGCAGCTTCCTCTGACCTCCCTCTTCCATCAGTTATTTCAGGAATATGGATCGATGTGCCAGGTTAAGTGCTGACTTAGATAATAGTAACGAAACCCAATCCCTGCCCTCTGGGAGCTCATGTCATGGTGGGTGGGGAAGACGAATGGAAGATTACAGGCGTGTAAATAACACATTGTCAGACCATTTTTTCACCTATTAAAACCTAACCTGACAGTGCCTAGTGTGCTCGCCACTGTTCTTAGCATCAAGGATTCAGCTGCGACCCAAACAGAGTCTCTGACCTCATGAGGCTGACACTCTAGTACGATGAGGCAGATAATAAATAAACACATAAACATACAGCAGGCCAGGTGCTCATAAGCACTGTGGAGAAAAATGAAGCAGGTTAAGGCAGTGCCAGGCCTTTCTGTAGAGTGGCCTCACTCGGAAGCATTTGAGAGACCTGAGGGAAGCAAGGGAGTGAGCCCTGCGGACCCCTAGCAGGGAGGGGGAGGGAAGGGAGCCCCACCCAGGAAAGCAGACACAGAGCCCTGAGGGAGGAGTGTGCTTGCCATGTTCAGGGATCAGGAAGAGGCATGTGGCAGGAGCAGTGTGACCGAGGAGAAGGGGGCAGAGATGTCAGGGTTAGAGGAAGGCCAGATCGGGGGCCCTGTAGGACTTTGACTCTTTCAGACTGAGCTGGGAAGCTAACAGAGAGTCTTGAGCAGGGGCAGGGAGGGAGATGATCTGAATGTTCCCTTTGAGAGGCTCCTCAGCCGGGCGCGGTGGCTCACACCCATAATCCCAGCACTTTGGGAGGCTGAGGCAGGTGAATCACTTGAGGTCAGGAGTTTGAGACCACCCGGCCAACATGGTGAAACCCCATCTCAACTAAAAATATAAAAATTAGCTGGGTGTGGTAGTGGAGGCCTGTAATCCCAGCTATTTGGGAGGCTGAGTCATGAGAATCACTTGAGCCCGGGAGGTGGAGGTTGCAGTGATTTGCAGTGAGCTGAGATAGTGCCAGTGCACTCCAGCCTGGGCAACACAGCGAGACTCCTTATCAAAAAAAAAAAAAAAAAGAAAAGAGGCTCTTCTGGCTCTTGTGTAGAGAATACACTATAGAGGCAGAAAAACCAGTTCGGAGCCTACAGTAATCCAGGTGAGAGACATGAAGGAGACCTGGAGGGCGGAGGTGCGTGACCGGATCTCAGCAGTCTGATCTGTGAAGCTCGAGACATCTATAGGCAGGTATGTTAACCTGGGTGCAATTAACTGGGAGGGAGTGGAGATAGAGAAGCTGTCTGAGGAGTGAGCAGTAAGGGCTCTAGCCAAGATCAGGGAGGTGAGGAAGAGCCAGCAAAGACTGGATCGAGGCCTCAGGAGAGGCCAGAGCACTAGGAGGAAAACCAAGGGATGTGGAGTCCTGGAAGCCACAAGGAGAAGGTGTCCAAGATGATGCAGCTAGTCAAGTGCAAAGATGAAGACACTTGACCTTTGTACTTAGCTACATGGAGGCCACCAGTGGCCTTGACTAGAGCTGTTTCAGTGGAGGAGTTGTGGGGATGCAAACCTGTTTCAAATGGGTTCAAGTGGGAATGGTAGATGTTAAATGGGAACAGCTCTTTCGAGGGACTTTGCTTTGAATGGGGGGAAAGAAATGGGAGGTTAGAGGGTTCCAAAAAGGTTTGTAAAAGATGGGAGAGATCGCAGGCTGTGTGAGGATGACCCAGTGGAGGGGAGTAACAGGTTGCAGGAGAGAGGGAGAGATAGATTTACTGGAGCACATCCTGAAGCAGGTGGGAATGGGCCTCATGCCAAGGTGGAGAGGTTGACCTTGGCTAGGAGCTCAGGGTCCATCTCAGGCAGCATGAGGGACAGTGGTTCTGTAGGCCCAGATGTAGGCAGGTGGGTAGATGTGACGGTGGGAGTCAATGGAGACATCTCTTTTGATTGTATCCATTTCCATAAAGCAGCAGATGAGAATGAGGATGGGGAAGGGGGTGATAGAGGTTTAACAAGAGAGAAGAAAGTGAAATAGTCATTTGGGAGAGTGGGAGGTGACTGACCTGGGAAGATGGGATGTGGGCCTCATGTGACAAGGCCCTGACTGAGTGAGACCAGCCTGGAGGTGGTAAGGGGTAAGCAGGGGGTAATAAATGAACCACAGTAAACAACAGAGGTCTGAAATCTCAGCATTGGGAGGGGGTCAGGCTGGTGATCAGAAAAGGTCTCCCTGAGCAGGTAGCTTTCAGACTGGAACCTAAAGGGTGAGAGTCCACCATGAAAGGAAAGATACTGCTGGCAGAGGAAACAATGTAACAGAAACTAAAGGGAGAAGCACTGTCTCTGTGGGATTTTCCTGTCAACAGAATAATAAGCCAAAGCAAAGAATGACTCTAGAATTTCAGGCAACAGATGCTTGGGAGGTTTGCAAGGCCCAGCTCTGTGGGCTCTTGTCCCCAGTGCCAACCGTGTTTCACCATCCTTATGTTTCCAGATGGGAGTGAGTGTCGTGGACTCTTCTGTGGCAGGACTTGGAGGCTGTCCCTATGCACAGGGGGCATCAGGAAACTTGGCCACGGAGGACCTGGTCTACATGCTAGAGGGCTTGGGCATTCACACGGTAAGCCCGCCCACCCCCTGGTGGCGACAGCCCTGAACTGACCAGGGCTTGGCCTGAAGCTGAGAACAAAAGTAGATGGGGGTATTTGGGGTTATTAAAGTGCGGAGGAGTAAAGAGGGAAAGGGTTAGCCAGGCACAGTGGCTCGTGCCTATAATCTCAGCACTTTGGGAGGCTGAGGCAGGTCACTTGAGCCCAGGAGTTTGAGGCTGCAGTGAGCTATGATCCTGCCAGTGTACTCCAGCCTGGGTGAAAGAGCAAGACCCTGTCTCTTCAAAACAAAACAAAAGAGGGGAAGGGTGCCAGGGATTATGGATATTTGATCTAATGTTTTAATGTTTGTGAGAGTAGGGTTGAGTGAGGCCACACGCATGGGCACAAGAAGGCTGGAGTGTCAGGGTGACTTTGACAGTTCAGTCCTAGGAGACACCAGGGAACATGGAAGGGGCCCTGGGAAGGGTCAGGCTCTTGACCTGAAATGAGTCAGTTCTCTCTTGGCTTTGTTTTGTTCTCTGTACAATGCGGACAGTAGAGTTAAACAGCTCACCAGGGATCTACCAGAGTCCACCAGGGCCCTCAGTGGTGGGACAGAAGCAGACTAGCATCTGTGCTTGAGGATCAGATGGAACTGGGTTTAAAGCCTACTCCTGCCACTCACAGGCTATGAGACCTCAGACAAATCATTTCATCTCTCTGAACCTAAGAAATGGGAAGAATAATGCTGTCTATCTCATGCAGCCATTGTGAGGATTAAGTAAGAAGATATATGTAGAGGGCCAGGCGTGGTGGCTCACACCTGTAATCCCAGCACTTTGGGAAGCCAAGGCGGGTGGATCACCTGAGGTCAAGAATTCGAGACCAGCCTGGCCAACATGGTGAAACCCTGTCTCTACTAATAATAGAAAAATTGCTGGGCACGGTGGCACACGCCTGTAATCCCAGCACTTTGGGAGGCCAGGGCGGGCAGATCACCTAAGGTCAGGAGTTGGAGACCAGCTTGGCCAACATGGTGAAACCCCTTCTCTACTAAAAATACAAAAATTAGTTGGGTGTGGTGGCAGGCACCTGTAACCCCAGCTACTTGGGACGCTGAGGCAGGAGAATCACTTGAACCCGGGAGGTGGAGGTTACAGTGAGCTGAGAGCGCGCCATTGCACTCCAGCCTGGGCGACATGAGCAAAACTCTGTCTCCAGAAAATAAAAAAATAAAAATAAACCTTATGTAGAATGCTTAGCACAGAGCTGAACACAGAGTGCATTTCAGCAAATATGAGCTACTGTATGAACAGAGGGTTTCTGCCTGGCCCTTTCAGTTGGTGTTTTTATCCCTCCCTCTCTGCCTCACAATCCTCACTTGAATATCAGTTTTTTACCTCTGTGGACCAGGCCCTGTGCTGGGCCCTGAAGAGGGAGTACTGAACAAGACTGATGAGATCTGTGCCCTGGTAGTGGCACTACAAACCATTATACAGATTGGGCATCTTACATGAGGGGGAGTCAGAGGAATAATCCAGGTGCCAGACAGACAGGAACTCACAGGCAGCTGGTGCCCCGCTGTCAAGGAAAAAGCCTGTTTCTCTTCACCTTTACTTTTTCAGTACCACAGTTGTCTATCCATGCTGATGTTTTCCCTGGTGTTGAGGGCTATGCCCATGACTTACCACATCCTCTAACTTGTTTCTCAAAGGGTGTGAATCTCCAGAAGCTTCTGGAAGCTGGGAACTTTATCTGTCAAGCCCTGAACAGAAAAACTAGCTCCAAAGTGGCTCAGGCTACCTGTAAACTCTGAGCCCCTTGCCCACCTGAAGCCCTGGGGATGGTATGGAAATAGGTGCACACACAGATGATTCATGGATGGAAACACGGAAATGAGAATGAGGTTAAATGGTGCAGGTACCTCATAGCCAGCTCTACACAGAGGTCTCTCCTGGCAGAAAGCAGGTGAGGGGCGGGAGGAGCTGCTTGGCAGCAGGACCTCCTGCCCAGACCTGAGTAGGAGCAAGAGGCTTTGAGGGCTGAAGTCTCCCTTCATTATGGACCCTGGCCCAGAAGTTGAATCCCTGAGGACATGTGGGAACCCCATTCCCTACTTGGCATGATCCTTGAGTCTCTTCTCTGGATGGAATCTGCGAGCTGGCCACCTGGCCGCCCTCTACACAGCTCCACCCTGCCATGGCTTTTGGGCCCTTGCTCTCTGACTTCTCAGGACACAGGTCATGGGGCTTCTTCCCAAGCTGGCAGAGACCATTTGTGGAAAGTGGAGAGCTTCGTGCTGGCCATCTGCCAACTCCAGCATCTCTGGAAAAAATCCACGCTGAATGTGATTTTTGAAAACAGCTTATGTAATTAAAGGTTGAATGGCACAGAATCATTCCGGCATTCGGTTGTGCAGCTGTGTGTATACGTGAGCATGGGGGAGGAAAATACTTTACCATGTTGCACTCTGAGAGAAAAATGGAGACTATGAACTAGTTTATTAATCTTTGCATTTCCTCCCTGTTTCCCCACCTGAGCCCCAAATCCATAGTGACTGGAAATCAGTGGCTTTGGGCTTACTCAGGAGGCTGCTTGCAGCAGTTGCTGGCCAGAACACCCGACAGGGTTGTTTCTGAGCTTTGCCTCTGTGACTGGGGCTATTGCACAAGCTCCCCCGAGGGCACACTTGCTGCTTTGGACCTCGGTGGCCCGGCCTCTCCCTGGCGTTCTCAGGCCCGGGAGCGCTCACCTGTCGGTTGCCCCGGGCTCTGCGGTCAGGCGCTGATTCTCGGCTGCGGGGACACCTGTGCGCTCCTGCATTTAGGGCTCCTTTGCTCTGGTTTCATCACGCAGGATGTCACATTTTGTGCATATTATTCTTTAGCTCTACTACTTTTCATTGTAAACAAAATCATTTTCTAACCTGCCGTCGTGGCAGGCAGAGTGCAGAGTATTCCCGGCAGGTGTGGGCCGCGGTGAGGGCTGAGAGCCAAGGGCGCTGGAACCGCTAGTGTGGCCTGACAGCTTCCTCCATTATTTGCAGACTGGACTTCCGGCACCACGGCCCCCTGCGACCCTCTTCTGCCTTAGTCCCGTGGGATCGGGTAGTTCAAGATTTTGAATTCAGGGTCTGGTAGACACCGGCAAGTTTGAAAACCTACGGGTCAGAATGGGGCGGAGGCGTGGGCCCCCTACCCTCTGCCCCCTGCCCCCTCGGAAGCGTGGCCCTCTTCCAGGGGTTGGGACAAGCTGGCCTGCGGACCCGGGGCACCGGCAGGGACCCAACCGCTCCCGGGACCTGGCATCAGCTGCGCCCCTCGCGGGGTGGCACCGCCCACTTCCGCTTTCCGTGGGCGTGCGCCGCGCAGTCGCAGTCACAGCGCAGAGGTCTTTTGTCCTCCCGGCGTCCCCGTAGTGGCCGTAACCCGAGTGACACGTTTCCTTGGGGGCGTGGAGGAGCGGGGTCGGGGTGGGCCGTCAGCACTTAAAGGGCCCGCCGCTCGGGCGCAGGAGGCGGTGCCTCTGGAGTCAGTGCGGGGCGCGGGAACCCGAGCAGGTTCGGGAGGCGGAATGAAGGGCCGGGTGGGCTCGCGAGGGGCCGGGGAGTCCGCGGGGAGCGAGGGAGTTTCCGAGGGGCGGGTCGCGTTCCTGGCAGAGTCCCTACGGGGCAGGCCCGCCTCCTCTGTCCCAGTTCCCCGCTGCGTGGGCTGGGGCGGCCGGGGTTCATTCATTCCCGGCCTGGGGACTCCTAGCTCGGCGCCGCTCCGCGCCACAGCCCAAAGCCCAGCCTGCGACCCAGCCGCCCTAGAGTGCCCACGGCCCGGCTCCCCTTTCCTCCAGCAGACAGACTGGGAAAACCGAGGGGGCGACGGCTGAGCAAGGTCACTCCGCGGGTCGGGGGCGCAGCCGGGCTCAGACCAGCTTTCCTGCCTCCCAGGGCCTCTCTGCCACCACTTTCGGGGTCCGCGCGGGGCGGGGGCGGGTGCGGCTTCCGCGCGGCGGGCAGAGTCCAGCGGGGAGCGGTGGGGGAAGGGCGAGCCGCCTGGGGAGGGGGCCGGGCTGCAAGCCTGGCGATCCAGATTCCAGCCCGCTGTCGCCAGCTGTGGGACCGAAGGGAAACTGTTTCACCTCTCTGACCCTAGTGTCTGTATCTGTAAAATGCCGGTGATAACACCTGCCTCACCGAGATGCTGGGGGAATTCAGGAAAATCATGCAAAAGTGCCCGGTACAGAGCCTGGCACACAGAGAGCTCTTGGTCAAGTGAGTTGGAGCTGCGTGAGCCCAAAAGGGGATAGAGGCAGCGTGGAGGAAGGCGGCAGCTGGCCCGGTCGCTGGGAATGAAAGGCCTCAGTGTCTGGGGCTTCCTCCCCGTCCCGCCCGTTCTGCCCACAGTTTGTTCAGGGTGGAGGTGCGCACCTGGCCAAGTCCACGTCTACACGGCCTACCCAGAGAGGCCTAAGTTGGGCGGCATTCCTAACTCCCAGCCAGGAGTGACCGGGCTGGCCCTGGCATGGGCAGAGACTGAGCGAGGGTTGGGTGGGGCCCGCTCCAGGACCAACCACGGTGTGGTTGCCCTTGAGCTGGCCTCAGCCTGCCTGGCAAAGACCTCATCCTTGAGACCATGTGATTTATTTCCTGCTTCCTCCTAGCTGACCCTTGAGGGAAAGGGGGTGGGGGCCGCCTAGAGCAGGAAGTATTAGTAGTCACTGAGCCCAGGTGCCAATTTACACCTAGCGAAGGTGGAGGCATTGGACAGGCCTGGGTCTGAGCAGAGAGAACTCCTTCCTGGGACCCTGGAGTCCCAATCCTGCTGCCATTTTCCTTCTGCCCAGGACTCTCCACTCCTCAGTCACCTTGGAGAAAGAAATGTGGATCCTCAGATTCCATCTTTCCAACTCCAAGACAAGTGGAACTAGAAAATAAGGTGCCTGTGTCAGTCTCCCCAGCTCTGCTGTGGTGGGCCCTTAAGATCACCTCACTGAACCCTCACACTGCCTCATGATGTTTATACAGTTATTAGCTCCGTTTTACAGAGGCAGAAACTGAGGCCAAGAGGCTAATTTCCTAAGGCCAGAAGGTGATAGTATCCAGACTTGCCCCAGGGCTGACTTCTGAGCCAGCCTGGTACCTAGGGCACACTGCTGCCTCCTTCCACAGTGAGCGTAGGGGACAGGATTCCAGTGGGAAGGAAGCTCTGAGCGGGCAGCCCAAGCCACCTCTGAGACTCTGTATCCTGGGCCAGGTGCCATGGCAGAGAAGGTGCTGGTAACAGGTGGCGCTGGCTACATTGGCAGCCACACGGTGCTGGAGCTGCTGGAGGCTGGCTACTTGCCCGTGGTCATCGACAACTTCCATAACGCCTTCCGTGGTGAGCGGGGCAGTGGGGCTGGGACTACTTGAGGGGATGGCAGAAGCAAAACTCTGGATTCCACCTCCACCACTGGGTGGGGAACGTGTGTCTGGCTAGTCCCTGGGAACACAGCACCCCATGTCGTGATGATGTGGCCTACATGTACCCTACCAGGAGGGGGCTCCCTGCCTGAGAGCCTGCGGCGGGTCCAGGAGCTGGCAGGCCGCTCTGTGGAGTTTGAGGAGATGGACATTTTGGACCAGGGAGCCCTACAGCGTCTCTTCAAAAAGGTGGGTGCAGGCCGGGCGCGGTGGCTCAAGCCTGTAATCCCAGCACTTTGGGAGGCCGAGATGGGCGGATCACGAGGTCAGGAGATCGAGACCATCCTGGCTAACACGGTGAAACCCCGTCTCTACTAAAAAAATACAAAAAAATAGCTGGGCGAGGTGGCGGGCGCCTGTAGTCCCAGCTACTCGGGAGGCTGAGGCAGGACAATGGCGTAAACCCGGGAGGCGGAGCTTGCAGTGAGCTGAGACCTGGCCACTGCACTCCAGCCTGGGCAACAGCGCGAGACTCCGTCTCAAAAAAAAAAAAAAAAAAAGGTGGGTGCAGGCTGGGCACAGTGGCTCATGCCTGTAATTCCAGCACTTTGGAAGGCCGAGGTGAGGAGATCACTTGAGCCCAGTTGTTCAAGATCAGCTTGCTCAACACGGTGAAACCCCATCTCTACAGAAAAATACAAAAATTAGCTGGGTGTGGTAGCCCATACCTGTGGTCCCAGCTACTCGGGAGGCTGGCGTGGGAGGATGGCTTGAGCCCGGGAGGTGGAGGTTGCAGTGAGCTGAGATGGCACCACTGCACTTCAGCCTGGGCAACAGAGCAAGACTGTCAAAAAAAGAAAAAAAAGGTAGGTGCAGGCAGGCAGGCCGGCCGGGGGCATTGCCAAGGACTAAGGCCAGTAGAGCAATCTCTGGCCATGTCGCCCCTGCAGCACAGCTTTATGGCGGTCATCCACTTTGCGGGGCTCAAGGCTGTGGGCGAGTCGGTGCAGAAGCCTCTGGATTATTACAGAGTTAACCTGACTGGGACCATCCAGCTTCTGGAGGTGAGAGGGCAGGGCAGAGACATTAGGAGGGTGCCCAGCTGGGCCCCAGTCTGGCAGGCAGTGCCAAACACAGAGCCCAAGCTCTATCATCCTGGACTCAGGTCTTTATGTCCCACTCTCAGTTTCCCCACCTCAGCCCCATTCTCCTGTGGAGGAGTAACAGGGTGGGAGTAATGTGTGAGGCGGAGGCCACTGACGCCACCTCTCCATGGCCAGATCATGAAGGCCCATGGGGTGAAGAACCTGGTGTTCAGCAGCTCAGCCACTGTGTACGGGAACCCCCAGTACCTGCCCCTGGACGAGGCCCACCCCACGGGTGGCTGTACCAACCCTTACGGCAAGTCCAAGTTCTTCATCGAGGAAATGATCCGGGACCTGTGCCAGGCAGACAAGGTGAGGGCCCCCTTGATAGCGCCCTGGCTCCACTGATTGATGGCCCACCCTGAGCCTGAGGGTGGGATTCTGAACACCCCCGCTAAGGAGGAAGCTAAGGCTCAGGCAGTCGCAGTGGAGGGCCCCATCCCCTGCTTGTTTCTAAAGATAAAGAATAGGCAACTGGCCAGGCGCGGTGGCTCATGCCTGTAATCTCAGCATTTTGGGAGGCCCAGGTGGGCAGATCACCTGAGGTCAGGAGTTTGAGACCAGCCTGGACAACATGGTAAAACCCCATCTCTACTAAAAATACAAACATTAGCCCGGCATGGTGGTGTGTGCCTGTGGTCCCAGCTCTTCCGGAGGCTGAGGCATAAGAATTGCTTGAACCTGGAAGGCGGAGGTTGCAGTGAGCCACATCAGGCCACTACACTCCAGTCTGGGCCATAGTGAGACTCCATCTCAAAAAAACAGAATAGGCATGGGGAGGGCTCTGGGTTGTTGGGACACACTGCCTGTGCCTCTGGCCTCACCGCCTGACCCACATCCCACAGACCTGGAACGCACTGCTGCTGCGCTATTTCAACCCCACAGGTGCCCATGCCTCTGGCTGCATCGGCGAGGATCCTCAGGGCATACCCAACAACCTCATGCCTTACATCTCCCAGGTAAGGCAGAAGGGAAGGGACAGGAGTGACCCTGGGGTTATAGTTGGTGCCTGGGATCTGAGGGGTAATGACCTGATCTCTACCTCCAGGTGGCGATCGGGCGACGGGAGGCCCTGAATGTCTTTGGCAATGACTATGACACAGAGGATGGCACAGGTGAGCCTAGGACCAGGGGGACCTAGGAGTGGGAGCCAGGAGGGAGAGTCAGGGGGAACAGACTCCCCATCCAACACACTCCCTTCTCTGCAGGCGTCCGGGATTACATCCATGTCGTGGATCTGGCCAAGGGCCACATTGCAGCCTTGAGGAAGCTGAAAGAGCAGTGTGGCTGCCGGGTAGGAAGAGAAGGGAGAAATGAGGGAGGGGAGGGACCAGATCCAGGCAGAGAGGCCCAGAGGGGTGGTCAGTCCAGCTCCTTCCATAAACCCTGTTCTCTGCGGGGCAGATCTACAACCTGGGCACGGGCACAGGCTATTCAGTGCTGCAGATGGTCCAAGCTATGGAGAAGGCCTCTGGGAAGAAGGTAGGCCCCCTGCCCCACCCACCTCACCCCACCCAGCTCTCAGCAGCACAGCAGCTTTGGCCCTTCCCACTCACCTCTCCTGTGGGCACCTGGCACTGCCCAGTCTCAGCCTGCCTAGCACCCAGCACCAGGTGCCTGTGGACGAGCTGCTGCTCTGCACTTCCGCTTCTTAAAGACCTGGCCGGCAGCTGGGCCAGGGCCGGCTCAGCTAAGCTCCAACTACCTCCTGTCTTCCAGATCCCGTACAAGGTGGTGGCACGGCGGGAAGGTGATGTGGCAGCCTGTTACGCCAACCCCAGCCTGGCCCACAAGGAGCTGGGGTGGACAGCAGCCTTAGGACTGGACAGGATGTGTGAGTGGTGGCCGGACCCCTGCAGTTAGGGGCCAGGGAGGGGCTGATCAGATCTGGGCATGACCACCCAGGGCAGGCTGTGGAGTAGGGGGAGGCTCTGCATTCCACCGTGGGTCCTAAGCACACACCTCACCGTGTTGCAGGTGAGGATCTGTGGCGCTGGCAGAAGCAGAATCCTTCAGGCTTTGGCGCGCAGGCCTGAGGACCCTCCCCTACCAAGGACCAGGAAAAGCAGCAGCTGCCTGCTCTCTAGCCTCTGGCAGGAACCCAGGGCCCTGGAGCTGCTGGGGCCAAGCCACGGCCTCCCCTACCTCAAACCCCAGCTGGGCCCACTCATCCCACCAGGCATGAGGCCAAGGGCTCCACTGACCAGGAGGCCGAGGTCTCTAACTCTTTATCTTCCACAGGGTCCAAGAGTTCATCAGGACCCCCAAGAGCGAGTGAGGGGGCAAGGCTCTGGAACAAAACCTCCTCCTCCCAGGCACTCATTTATACTGCTCTGAAAGAGCTTTCCAAAGTATTTAAAAATAAAAACAAGTTTTCTTACACTGGGGCAGGTTCTCACAGATGGTCACTATCCACCCCTGGAATACAATCAGCCAGGCCTGAGCACTGAGGAAGCAATTTCTTTAATTTTATCGGAATCCAGGACACAAGAAAAACACCCAAAAACCACATGGAGACAGAAGACGAGACACAACTCCTCCCCCACTGCCTCCCTGCTCTAGAGTGGGGACAAAGTGGGGGTGAGACAGCTGAGGGGAGACCTGAACCTCAGTCCAGCCCTACAGGCTCCAGGCCTGCAGGGAAGGAGGGTAACCGGGAGGCAGGGTCCAGCCCCCCAGTGTGGGGAAACAGCTGAGGGAAGGCCCCCCTCAAAAGGCTCCATCTCCTCACCAGCACTCCTGCCCAGGGACAGGGAGCCCACAGCAGCAAGGGGACCCCGGGGCCATGGCCACATTCATGACTGAGAAGCAGCTGAGTGGAGGCAGGAGACACACGATTATCTGGGCAGAATCAGTTGGGGCAGGGGCCTGGGAGGGCCCCATGGGCCAAACCCTGAGGTCACAGGAGGGGGCCCAAAGCGGGGCTAGTGAGTGAGGTCCTGAGTGAGTGGGTCAGCGGCTGGGCCCCTTTCTCCAGCTGCCTGTAGCCCCTCCAATACTGCTGCCAGGGGGGCCCGCCTCCAGGGAAATGGGATAAGAAAGCAGCCTGCCCCTGCTGCAGACAGAGCCAGGTGGCTGAGGCCAGGAAGAAAGGCCAGGCCTTGCCACCTGCCCCAGAAGCCTGTGGGAGAAGGACAGGTCAGGAACGGTGGGGACAGGGGCTCGACCGGCTCAGATCCAAGATGGTGCCAGGCTTGCTTGCTGAGTCCCCCATGAGCTGGGGCACCGCACTGGGGCCAGCGACTAGTTAGACAGGAGGCAGCAACTTCTCAAGAAATTCCTTAACAGCTGCCATCTCCTGAGGGGATTAAGAGGGGATCACGAGAGGTTCCTGGCTGGAGGCAGAGAAGTGGGAGTGGGAAATGGTCCCCCACTGACCTGAGGACAGGAGCTGTGCATGACACCCGGGTATGTCTTGAACTGGACCCTGGCAGGTGTGACAACAGACCGGAGCTTCTCAGCCGTCAGGGCCCCAAACCGTACAGGCACCATGGGGTCCAGCTCCCCATGGCACTGGAGGATGGCCAGGTCCTTGGCACTGCCATTAGCTGCCTGGGGGCCGGATAGGACTCAGGGCAAAGCTAGTGCTGCAGCAGTCCCCAAGCCACAAGGATGCAGACCCAAAGGGTGGGGGGGTCAGTGGGGACATTCACCTGGGGGAAGGCCCGGTGCAGAGGCAGCCAACAGCTCAACGCCACGATGCCAGCCAGAGGGTGGGGGCAAGTGAGGGCCGTGTAGAGGGAGAGGGCCCCGCCCTGGAGGGAGAAGAGAGGAATCATGACGGCACAACTCACTCACCTGCCACCCCTACCCCCCACACCCCCACCCCTCTCCCCTCACCTGTGAAAAGCCTCCCAGGACGATTCGATTGGCAGGAATCCCGTTCTTCATTTCATGCTCAATCAAGGCCTTGACTGGGGGGAGGGGGCATGAGTAGGTGGGGGGAAACTGCCAAGGGGCCCAAGAACGAAGCCAGGCTGAGGAACCACCCAGAGCTTTCCTGGGGGGCGGGGGCAGGAGGAGGCAGAGGAGGGGCTGGGGTCTTACTGTTCTCTGCTGCCTTCTTGATGCCAGCCTCGTCCTCTGGGGCATCTGGACTCAGTCCCATCAGGTCAAACCTGGGGAGTAGAGGCACAGGCAGCTATAGAAAACCGCAGCCGGCCAGCCTCCTGTAGCTCCCTCAGCCCAAGTGTCCTCGTCCCCCTGCCTAGCCCTGCTCCCAGACTCACCAGGAAGGCATCACCATCTTCATGTTGAGGGTCACAGGGATCCTAGGCCTGGGGAGACAGCCAGAGGGCCCAGCATGCTCAGGAGGAATGACGAGGCCACAGCCCACAGCCCAGAGTGGGGCCGCGCCGCCCCTGGGGGCCCTCCCAGCAGGCAGGGCCTGTGTTTAAGGTGTTGCCAGGCAACCTGCCACGTGGGGCTGGAGGCTGTGGTTGGAGCAAAGCACCAGCAATGGAGAAGCAGAGCCCAGCGCTTGGTGTGACGGGGTCCCAGCTAGTCAGTGAGTACTTGGGGAAGGGGCAAAGGGAGGTGTGGGTTCTAGGAGAGCTCAGGTCTAGGAGGCCCTAGAGCTGGGGGTTGGTGCTGGACCCCACTCCTGGGGGCTCCACAGGAGCTAAGGCTGAAAATGCCACTTCTGACTGCCCTGAGCCCAAGCCCCAGGATGCAGCTGACAGGAGAGAACAGGCCTGGGATGCCAGGACCACCCCCAGATGATCCCCAGCCTCAGCCCCTCCCTTGCTGGGGTGACACTCACGCATGGGGACAGATGTACTTGACGTGAGGGAGTCGGATGGTGGAGAGGGCGTCAGCCCAGCTGTGCCTGTAGGAGGGACGGGAGAAAAGGCTCCGATGTGGTAGAAAGAGAAGGGGACGTACAGGCCTCTCCAGTCCGCTGCTGGGCCCAGGCCCCCTCCTTAAGAAGCACCCCTCCTCAGTCACTTACCCTGTGTCTCCAAGTCCATGTAAAAAAATAACCTGGAAAAGGATGGAAATGGGGAGACAGGAAGGTTCCCTCTAGGTTCTCCAACTTCTGCCCACCCCTCCCCCACCCCCAAGGATCTGGAGGAACCCAGGTAGCAAACAGGTTACTACCCTGAGCCTCCTGGCCTCAGGATACTCCCTGCTCATCACTGCCACCTCCATTTTTCCCACACCCCCTCCAGCTGGTCCTCCAACTGCTCCCACAGTGTCTGGCCGTGCGTGAAAGGGGACCCTTACCGCGGCCGTTTCCCGCTCAGCTCCAGACACGGTGGCAGCATCGGTGAGCAGGGGCACAGACATGGTGTTACCACACATACACCACACGGCTCCACGGCGGGGGCCTGCACACATTAGGGGTGGCGGTCAAGAGCAAAACCAGGCACAGGACACACTCCTGGCCCAAGAGGCCACCAGGCCATCAGCCCCACACAGCACCCAGGTTCTGTCTTGGGCACAAATAGGCAAGAAGTCCCAGGGCACAGGGGAAGGAAGTCTGCCTCAGTTCCAGGGTTGAAAGGCAAAGGCAGCCACCCTAGTGGCCCAGAACATGTGTCTCTGGTTCTGGTCCAACCACAGGATCTGAGCTTGCTGGAGACAGGCAGAGGCAGGGCACAGGGACTGTAGGGCAGGGGGCAGAGGGGAGGCAGCGGCACGCCTGCTTCATTCCCCCTCTAACTCCTCAGGGGTCAGTGCCTTCCCCCTCCTCTCCAATCATCCCTGGGTCCCTGCCTCCCCAGCTCCCGGCCCTATGGGAAATACAGAGAAAAATGCCAGGGAAAGGAGCTTCCATCCCCTACTCAGTGCCACCTCCAACCCCCATCTCAACCTCACCTGACCCAGCCCGCATCCAGCCTTCACAGCAGTTTCTGGCCCATCCATTCTCAGACCCCCAGGGGGCTGCCCATGTCCCCAGATAGCGTTAAGAACTCCACCCAACCCCAAACTGGTGCTCCACGCCCCCCTAAACGGAGCTACCTGCTGCTGCTGCCACTGACTGCAAACGAGCCCCGGCTTGACCACGCTCTGGGACTCCCAAACACACAAAAGAATGTCAGGCTGGCTGGCCCCTCCCCATCCTCCAAACTCGCCGGCGTCCTCCAAACTCGCCGGAAGCTTCCACTACCTGCCTCCAAGTGCCTGCCCACCCCTCCCAACTGGCCTCACCTTCCATCTCTGGCCCCTGAGGGCAGCTCCCCACAATGGGATCATTCACCTGTGACCCGGGGCTCCTCTTCCCACTGGGGAACGCACCTCCCGCCCTGAGCTGCGATTCCCTTCCTTCTCCACCGTGGGGACTTGCACCTCCCGCCCAGGCTCCCTCCTTGGGGCCCGATCTGTCTCCTTCTACACCTTGAGAACTTCCACCCTGACCCAGGATCTCCTGCTCTCCACAATGGGAACTTCTGTTCTGACCAAGGGTCACCCTCCCCAGTAACATTTTCTACCCCGACCCAGGACTCGCACCTGCCCACAATGGGGCTTTGTACCTTTGACTCTGGGGAAGCCCCCGCCCCACAATGGGCTCTTCTACTTTCGACCCCGAAGTCTGTCCCATTATACCCAGACACCCCCTTGCCTAGCCCCACTCCACTCCCGAAGTCCCCAAGACTGGACAGCGCCTTCGCACCTCACTCCCCACCCCCATCCTCCCCTATCGCGGTCCCCCTCCCCGCTCTCCGGGACCCTCCCAAGGCCGACCTCCCCCATATGCCCTTCCTCCGCAGCCGCCGGCTGGCTACCTCCACTCCCTGGGGCTTCCGAGGCCGCTTGGGCAATTCTCCTCTTTCTCCCGCAGACACACACTCTTCCCCCTCGGCCGCCCCCGCCGGAACTTCCGTTCCAGTCCCGGGAACCCAGCCATCGCGCTGCCGGAAGTAGCCTGGCCGACAGTACGGAACCCGGAAGCGGGGACCCGGCTTCGCTGGATAGAGGCTGCCATGTTGGAGACAGTGGGGCCACTCCCTGTCATTCAGTCGTGCAGTCGCTGGGTTCTCTCCCGCTCCCACCTTGTAGAATCGAGACAGGGCACCCAAGACTCCCACTTGCTACCACCACCCATGCGCCTCCTGGAGGAGGGCTGACCGGAAGGAGAGGCATCCCTCACACTATTGTTGGCATAAACTTTACCACCTTGCCATCCCTATGGGACACACTTCTTAAGGTCTCGGGTGTCTGCCACTGGCTTTCATGCCCTATTCCAGGATCATGAATGGAATGACACGCTCCGAACCGAAGAGAGCTTACAGATCTAGTTCTCCAGCCTTAAAGATGGGGAAACTGAGGTTCAAGGAAGCAAGTAAACAGCGACCTCGGGATTCCATTGAAATTCTGCCTCTCTGGATCTGCTTCCTGAGATACAAAATAACCACCTTGCCTCCTTCACGGCTTTGTTGGTAGGTTTAAATGAAGTTGTGTGAACATGCTTTATACAATAAAATCACAGCATGATGCGTTAATCAAGCAAAAAAGGACCTAGGAAAAATACA